AGTAATGGTGTTATGTCCCTTTATAAAAACTACACAGTGTTGCTGAAAAATCTTAAAGGTTTCAACAGACGAAGAAATTGATGATAAACGATTGAAATAAATTCATAAAACACATTTAAAGCTAACAAATTGTTATAGTTGGCATTTTTTTTTTGTATAGACCAATGGAAGTAGGTTCTTAAGGTAGCACAATACAAAAGCAACTAAATTTTATCAAAATTTCATTTTCGGCTGTTTTGTTACTTCTTAATATTCAAACACCACAGAAGAAAAAAATATTTACATATCTTGCAGTGTTAATGAGTTTTGATGATAACCATAGGCGGATCCGGGGGGGGGCCCTGGGGGGCCCAGGCCCCCCCTTTCGTGGGAAAAATTTGGTTGGTTATATAGGGAATCACTGAAGCATGACTGGAGCGGGCCCCCCTTAGGTCAGTCAGCGGGCCCCCCTTATGAAAAGTTCTGGATCCGCCACTGATAACTAGTTTTATAAACAAATGCACGTGTCTGACTGATACAAGATAAGAACATGTGCAATGATGTGGGCAGTACTATGTGGTTAATCAATAGAATCATTTGATAGCTTTACAACCACTGTCCAGCAATAAAAATATCAGTTATGAAAAAGAGGTGGATTAGGGATTTATGGAAAAATGAAAGATAATGAATTCCAAAAAATACATTTCTGTATTGGAGATGTCAGGAGAAAACAACTATTTGGAGCTAAAGAGGGAATCAAAATATAAATGTACAGATATTAAACAAATATAATTGTACAACAATGATAAATGTTGCTTATGTTTATACTAGAATTTCTTGAGGAGAATGTTTAAATACTTCATTTTCAAACTGCAAAATATGAAAAAAATCTACTTTGTGTAAAACACCATATTGTCATTGTATACAATTATAATTCTAGAAATCCCCCAAAAGGATCCTCTAGACTGACCAACTGATCATTTTGTGTACACATGCATAACTTACTTTTTGTAACAATGCAAAAAACAAAATATATCATTTTATGTACTAAAAGAATAAAATCCATAGTGAAAAAAGTAAATGCAATGTGTAATTAAACTTCTGAGATCATTAATAGTAAAGGTTTATCATGGTGGGCGGAGTTTTGACAATATCAGTAGCAACTGACTTACAGCAATGTCAATAATGATATAACACCTCCCGCCAGATCTGATTGTTGATGCATAGGGTGTGCATTTTCTTTATATATTTAGAATTGCTGAATTGGAATGCTTTCTAACTGGTCAAAACCTAATTTATTTATGATTAAAGGCCAATCCTGAAGTATCCCCATGGTACATGTGTGAATTATATTGAAGTTAAAGGGGTACAAGTAGGAAAATCCTTATTTATTCAATTGAACACATTCATTTTTGTCATGAAAATGTAGTTTTAAATGAAATTAGCTCCTAGATGGGTGCCTCTATATGCTTGATTTTCACACATGTTGTTCCTTGACCAGTTATCTTCAAAAGGGTGTCTCAGATTTCTAAAAGCACCAATAGAACAAATTTTATACCCAATTTAATTTAGTGATCTCTTATGAATTGAGGTTGCAAACTTCATTGAAGGTTATGAGAGAATGAAATACAATAGGAAAAATCTGAGACACCATTTTGGAGGTCAAACTGTGTTGCACAAGAATCTATAAAATATTTTGGGATGGTATGAATAACAAAGAAGCTAATTTCATTCAAGTGTGGACATCACAATATAGCAACTAATAACATAATAATTAATTATGCAATAATCATGTCATAATGAAATAATCACCATTTGAAAGATTAATCTTTCTTCTTTCTTTTGGTACCTCATTTATAAAATTAATAGCTGGATGAAAGAAATTACATCAGTTTAAAGTTGTCTGATTGGGGGTGAAAAAATCTTTGTATTGTGCTACCTTAATACTAACAGTATTGAAGACTAGATCACTTTGATAGGCCACTAGTCTAAATACCACGTTAAGATAGTCGGTAAGATAAATTTGTTACATAGTGTGCTAGTGACCTAATACGATATATATGGGGTCAGTAAATTCAATATGGGGATTCGAGCTTTGCTCTCACCCAATATGGAATTTACTGACCCCATATATATCGTATTAGGTCACTAGCACACTATGTAACTAATAATGACCCTCCATACTTTTAGTTCGCACAGGGAGTTACACAGCCATTCTTGTATAGCCCATATGACCCTCCATACTCTTAGTTCACAAAGGGAGTTCAACAGCCATTCTTGTATAGCCCATATGACCATCCATACTCTAAGCTCACAGCAGGGAGTTCCACACAATTCATGGCCTATAAACTTTCCAGATGTGTTTTTATGAAAATATGAATTATTTGCTACTGGACATTTAGCAACTAATAATCAATCTAAAAGAGATTTCTCAACACCTGCATGCCCTGGAAATCAATTTTAGTGGACCTATTAAAATTGGCTGTTGTCAAGTCTTTGAGATTCTGACTGAAAATCCATCATTCAGTATAGCATGCTCACATGAAGCTTAATTCCAAATTCCAAATGACAGGAAGCTCTGATTTGCAGTTCCTGAGAAAATGTGACCAACATTTTAAACATGGCAATAATGTGTAGGAACATATTAGCATTAGGTAAACAGGAAATGAATTGGTCATGAATCTGAAAAAGCATTAAATAAAGCATGCTCAAGTCAGGGTTGGTTCTTAAATTAGGAAAGTCTTAATTTGTAGTTCCTGGAGAAAATGTGACGAGCATTTCAGACATGGCCATTATGTGTAAGAATATATAAGTATTTGGTTAAAAGGAAGTGGATAAGTGATAAATCTGAAACTGCATAATACAGTAAAGCAGGCTCATATGAAGCTTGATACCAAACTTCAGGAAGCTCTGATATGTAGTTCCTGAGAATGTTCAAGATAAATTTTATGGGACAGATAGACAGACGTAAACCAATATAACCCTTTCTATTAGAGTGGGATACAGTCGTAAACCAATATACCCCCTTCTATTAGAGTGGGGGGCCTCGGTGGCTGAGTGGTCTAAGTAGTTACTACTGTAATCACTAGCCAGTCAACACTGAGGTTGTGAGTTCGAACCCCGCTCGTGCAGGTGCACTCGACTCCAATCTTAATTGACTAGGATTGTCAGTTTTCCTATCGAAGGTCCATGGTTTTCCCCGGGCACTCCGGCTTCCTCCACCAATAAAAACTGGCCGCCACGAAATAGCCCAAAAGCGGTGCTTAAAAGTGGTGTAAAAACACCAAAAATCAATATCAAAAATCTATTAGAGTGGAATATAATTAAATTCTAACTGTTGTTCTCACATTTGTAAATATGATTATAGTTAATTAAATTATTGTTCTTTAGTAAAGAGGAATAAACTAATTGCTTCAAGAATGTAAGGGTAAAGTCCAGGAGTTCAATTCTGATGCAAAATTGTGTACCATTGATAGGTAAAATGCTCCTCTGGGGCGCAGCTTGATACGACCGCAGAGGTCGAACCCTGAACAGTTGGGGCAAGTATGGACACAACATTCAAGCTTGATACAGCACTGAATTTGGATTGTAATTAAATATTTGACACAGCATAGGTTTCTGACACAGAATGAAAGTGGTCTAAGAACTTAAAATTTTTTAATTTACCTATTAAAACCATATCATTATTATTTGCTTTTATATATAAATCAGAAATAACCAATTTAAAATAGAAAATTTTAAAGAAAAAAAAAGGAAAAAAAAATCCCCCCCCAAATTTTTTGAACCCCCTTATTATTCATCACCCCCTTCTCAATCCCAGCCTTCCCTTTGTGGTATGGTACCTTGCAGTACAATTTCAGAGAGATCCATACACTTGAACACAAGTTATTGTCTGGAAACTAGAAAAATGCTTGTTTTTTGGCCCCTTTTTGGCCCCAAATTCCTTAACGTTTAGGGCAATTACCCCCAAACTCAAACCCAGCTTTCCCTTTGTGATATGGAACCTTGCAGTACAATTTCATAAAGATCCATACACTTACACACAAGTTATTGCCCTGAAACTAGAAAAATGTTTGTTTTTTTGCCCTTTTATGGCCCCTAATTCCTAAAATTTTGAGGGAATTACCCCCAAAATCAATCCCAGCCTTCCCTTTGTGATATGGTACATTGCAGTACAATTTCAGAGAGATCCATACACTTGAACACAAGTTATTGTCTGGAAACTAGAAAAATGCTTATTTTTGGCCCCTTTTTGGCCACTTATTCCTAAACTTTTTGGGCAATTACCCCCAAACTGAAACCCAGCTTTCCCTTTGTGATATGGAACCTTGTAGTACAATTTCATAAAGATCCATACACTTGCACACAAGTTATTGTCATGAAACTAGAAAAATGCTTGTTTTTTGCCCCTTTTTGGCCCCTAATTCCTAAAATATGGAGGCAATTACCCCCAAAATCAATCCCAGCATTCCCTTTGTGATATGGAACCTTGTGATACAATGTCAGAGAGATCCATACACTTACACACAAGTAATTGTCTGGAAACTAGAAAAATGCTTGTTTTTTTGCCCCTTTTTGGCCCCTAATTCCTAAAATTTGGAGGCAATTACCCCCAAAATCAATCCCAGCATTCCCTTTGTGATATGGAACCTTGTGGTACAATGTCAGAGAGATCCATACACTTACACACAAGTTATGTCTGGAAGTTACAAAAATGCTTATTTTTGGCCCCTAATTCCTTAACTGTTGGTACCATAACCCCCAAAATCAATCCCCACCTTCCTTTTGTGGTATTGAACCTTATGGTAAAATTTCATAGAGATCCATTCACTTAAACTAAAGTTAGAGTGCGAAAACTAATGTGTCTTCGGACGACGACGACGACGCCAACGTCATACCAATATACGACCACAAAAATTGTTTTGCGGTCGTATAAAAATGATTCATTTCAGCACATCAACATTTTAAAACATATCAAACTTTGTACTATGCTAAAAAATTACATAAATATAAATACAATGTAAGAAAACAAATATTTTATTTGTATATTAATAACACAGCAGACTAGACTGTAAAATGAACAAATATTACATTATATTTCATATACCTTTAAACAGCAAATTGATTTAAAAAAATAAAGTCTCCTTTGAGTCAGAATTGCTCACCTAGCAAAAAAATCATGTCATATTGATATTAATTTTCAGCTTTTTAGCATTTATTCCTGAAATCAAATGAGTTATTTTCAAATCTTTGGAGCATCCCACCTTTTCACTACCAATCAATTGTTGGTTTTTTTAATTGAATTGTTTCATATTTTTCATGTCAGGGTCTTTTATAGCCAACTATATGGTATGGGTTTTCTCATTATTAAAGGGTGTACAATGTCCTTCAAGTTCATTTGAACTTTGGTGGATAGTTGTCTAATTGGCAATCATACCACATCTCCTTATTTTCATATTGGTCCTCACTTTATTAACAACCAATGACTTATTGTATCAATTTTGTTGGTTATTTTCTCTTAACTGTACATGTATGGCTTCAGGGTAATAAAAAATTAAATGTCATTAAAGGGCAACAACTCCAATACTGAATAGACTAACAATATTGACTTCAGTAGATCCTGATTTGTAGGTAACTGTGTTGCAATCAATATTTTCTATTTACTGCAGTTTTCAAAAAAATAAATATGTGGACATTACCCCTCAGTCTAGACACTTAAGGATAATTTTTAGTAATGGAGGCCATGTTGGTTGATACAGAAATTAATTTAAAATCAAAAGTTTAGACACTAAATGATTATTTGAGTCAAGTTTGGTTTAAATTGATTGGTTTAGTTGTTTATAAGGGAGCTACCATTTGATTTTTATGGGGGGGGGGGCTAAGATGAAATTTGAAAAAAAGGCAGGACAGGAGTTTTGAGTAAAAAAAAGGCAGGATGAGCAATTTGGCAAAAAAAAAAGGCAGGATGACAATTTATGTAAAAAAAAGTCAGAATAAACTAATAAAAAATAAATGGGGAATGTGTCCTAGGGACACAGATGATGCCCCCGCTTGCATATCATATAAAGTTATAAAGGGACATAACTGAAGAACAGTAAAAGTGACGCTACCCAAATTTGTACTTGATCTGAGTTTTGTGGTAATAAGTATTGTGTATAAGTCTCATAACATTTGGTTGAGGCTAACTGAAGTTAGAGAACAGAAACGAAAAATTCAGCAATTTTTCCATTTGTAAACAGGCATAACTCTAGAACGGTAAAAGTGACACCACCAAAATTCAAACTCGATCTGTATTTTGTGGTAATTACTAATTAGCATTGTGTATAAGTTTCATAACATTTGGTTGAGGCAAACTAAAGTGAGAAAACGGAAACGAAAAATTCAGCAATTTTTCCATTTGTAAAGGTGCATAACTCTAGAACAGTTATAGTGACGCCACCAAAATTCAAACTCGATCTGTGTTTTGTGGTAATAAGCATTGTGTATAAGTTTCATAACATTTGGTTGAGGCAAACTAAAGTTAGAGAACGGAAACCAACTTTGGGACATACAGACGGACAAGGGTAAAACTTAATGCCCCCTCCCCTACGGCGGGGGCATAAAAAGGCAGGACCGAATAGAGTGAAAAATAAAAAGACAGGACAAAGATTACAACTAAAAAAAAAATGGAGGACAAAATTTTTCATCTTAGCCCCCCCCTCCCATTAAAATCAAATAGTAGCTCCCTAATGCAAATATACAATATTGAGTTTTGCCTCCATTTTGATGAGAAACAGCATATTATATTTGCAAATGATTGGTTGAACTGTTCTACTTTCAAGTTATTACAAGGAAACAACATAAATACCCATTTTTCAATCAACGAAGGGCCATAACTCCTGAAAAGGAAGAGGAAAAACAGCCAATATACAACTCAATTTCATCATCAAAATGGAAAGTAGCTAGATCTTGACATTCTTTTTATAAAATCATAGGATTGAGTATTCAATACTTTTTCCTTAATTACACACAAATATATTGGACAGTGCAACTGACCACACCAACTGACCACACCAACCACCAACATTTGACTGTTGCGTGGGACCTGATACATAGTTTGTAACTGTATTATCATTTACATGTACAACAATATAAAGTACAATAATATGAAATGGAACAAAAAGCTTTCCCATCTTCTTTCAGGAGACTTATTAAAAGGAGATGTGGAGCAGGTATCACAAAATCCAACTAAAATCAATCCATCAATGTAAGGCAGTTTTTATCTAAAATATAATAGTAAAGGGTTGCACACAATATTAACCTTATAATTAGATACCAAATAATGACAACAACTTAATCTGGCCCCTTGGGTCATTTGGTCACTCAGATATCCAGAGGAAGTTTATGAAATTTACAGACTTGTACATTTCATAACCTATTCAGTCACAGCTGTTTTACATATCAAGAATAAAATGGAACCAATTGGTTAGAAAAAATTTAAATATGTATAAACTACGTAAAAAAGAAAAAAAATCCCAACACTTTACAATGCTTTACATGACTTTTGATCTGTCTAACGGTCAATCAGGAGATAATCCAAATAAATGGTCGGGAAAGTTTTGAAATGTAGGCTCCCCATTCCTCTGATGAAGTTTAACAAACTGTATTAGATGTTGAGGTAAATGTTCATGGTATCCAATATTATTATCTACGATGGACACAGAGGCAAGACATTGAAGTGTTCGGTTAGCAACTGGACATAGCGGCACTACTGAATCCTGGGAATTATCTATTGGTGATTGGTTGGTTTGATCTACACAATCTGGATGAGCACCTCCTTCCAGAAGAGCTTTAATAATGTCTTGAGGGCTGCTGGTGCCCTGCTCCTCAGAAACTTTTAACATTAAAAAGTAACAAAAGTGTAAAGGAGTCATTCCTTCATCATCAAAAGCGTTAGGATCTGCTCCGAATGTTAACAATAACTCTATCATTTCCAATGATCCACAAAATTCATCAGTCAATGAACTTTTCTTGTATTCCAAATATGGCATCCATGAATCTATAGTATCATCGGACAGAGTTGGTACAGCATAATGAAGTATTGTTTGACCATATAAATTTCTAAGATCAGCCTGAATAACTTGTCTCATAAACTGGGAAAATCTCTTTGTTTCTTCAAAGGTCTTCTTTTGTCTATTCATAATCTTCATCATCACAAGCAATGATGCAAATTCTATGAATTTTCTCTGACTTCTTGGAGTCACACAACATTCTAAGAAAAAACATTTCCATATTGACATTAAAGTTTCAAAAGACAACAGTGAACGGTGATTCTCATTGGTAACAATGTCGACCAATTTTAAGATAAACCATTTACAGAAATATTTTTTGTCTAAAATTTCTTCATTCGGTAGAAATTGAATGAAATATGGAAAACTATAAGTTATGAATGTAGCCAATTGTCTAACTCTATCTTCCTTGTCCAGTTCTTCAGCCAGATTCTTATATGCCAAAAATGTTCTGAAATCTCCATAACCAATCACACTCTCATGAATCTGAGCACTTTTAAGTAGGATTGCCAAGCGTGTGTCTATTGACTTTCCTGCCTGGCTTTTACCAAGGTGCCATCCGAAGGAAGAATGGGTAGATATGTCAGTCAAATCAGGAACCTCCCCCTTTTTTACTTGTTCGTTAAAGATATGTTTAACCAGCTGAACAGTTTTCTTGGTTACATGAGAGAAATAATTTGACACAGTGTCTAGAAGATCTATAATTAATGTTGGCATAATGGGATTTAGAGAAGACAAAAACTGAGATCGGGCTTCTTCATTTGCACGTTCCTCGGTTTCCCATTTCGACATACTTTCTGCATCATTTGATGTTGTTTTGTACATTTTATTTCTTGTGACACGGACACATTTTTGTCTCCTTATTTCATCAGCAGCTTTCCAACATTGAACAGCATCAGCAAAATAATTTGAAGTACAGCAGTATGTCCCAAACACTTCCAGACTTTCTATTTTAACGTGGAGAGGTATATCTGGCATGAGTAAACATTTATGGTATAACATGGTGTCTCCAGATGAAGCTAGATACAGAATCGGATGAACATACTTAGCATCTAACTTTTCATCTAATTTGTCACACTGGACAATTTCATTGGAGTCCTTATCAATATTAAATGATCCTAAAACAGAATCAACATGTTCTTCAGTGCTATCACAGTTTTCAATGGCTGATTGAAATTTGAGTAGATTAGCATCATTTATATTGTTTATATTCTCTAAGTAAGGTTCTAGGTAACCTGACATAGAACTTCCCCTGTGAATCATCTCGTATCCAAATACTGACAAACCTTCTACATTCCTAACATTGCCAAAATCTACTGGAACTTTATCAAGCAAAAACTGAAGTGAGGTTTTGTAAAATTCTTTTGTTTCATCAAAAGCAGCAGTCAAGATATCAAATAGTTGTCTCTCTGAGCATTTTTCCACAGCCCCTTTATCTACCAGCATTTTAACAATCTCCACTTTATGACAGAATCCCATGTCCACTGCTTCTTTTAACTCCTGACTTTTAGTTTGGTTTCCAGAGTCATCTGGGTGTTTATATCCAAATACTGGAAATATTTCTGGTGGGAATACCATCATGGCAAGCATTAGACAATTACAGTTTTTCCCAATGTCTATACCAACATCAGCATTACATTCAAGTAAATAGTGCACAATATCTTCATCCCCATTTGCTACTGCACAAAACAAAGGCTTCCCCTTCAGGTCATCTGATTCACCATCAACATTTGCATCACAATGCTCCACTAAAAACTTTACTAAGTCTACATTTTTTAACTTACAAGCCAAAGATAGTGGGTTATGGTTCTTATTTCTCACTTTCATCATTTCTTTTCTTTGTTCTATATCACAAAGGCCTAATATGGATGCCAAATATCGTTCAGCATCACGGGATATCATTTCAGACTTTCTAGTGTCAGAAATTAAATCAAGGATGATGTTTTTTAAAACTTCCAGAGTTTCTGGTTCAACACCCATGCCAAAACTTTGGGTTTCCTCACAGTCTTCCTCATACCCATAGTAATCGTTATAGTATTCATAGTTTTCTTCATTCTGGTCCATATCATCATTATAACTTTCTGTATTCTGAGGAAATTCTTCTTCTAAGCTGTCATTATGTGCTAACAGAATTTTGTTTACTTCTGTTTCACCATTACCATGATTACATGTACTGTCATTAAGATCATCAACTTTGCCAAGTTTTTTTCTCCCAACATTCTTCCTCTTCTTTGTATTTCTAGATGAACCCATTTCTTGTTTCAAATCAATTAGACAACAAAACTAAGTCCTGAAAAAATAAAATAAAAACCTTTTTAATTCTTGAGTCTTCTTATTTTTCATTTCATTTATGTTACATTTTAAAGGGGGAAAGTTGGAGGTGATAAACAATTAAAACATTCTTTTTCATGAATCTAACTTTAGAGGTTCAGGGATCTCAATGATGTGTGAATATTTAACCTTGGAGGAACTTTCAGAAGGACAAAACCCTGCATGTTCTAATCCAAATCATTTAATTCCTCTATTTCATTGTAAGAAATAGTGATTAGACTGATATATAGATTATTATATTATAGAATAACCAATATTTTTATTAAATGTCACTTGTAACAATTTCAATTTCAAGCCTGGCTTTTCTTATTCAAGGATGACCACAATCCAGCTGTCATGTTAACATCAAAGTATTTTGCTATAGGTAAGTTTACTGTTCAGTTAAAACGGTCCCTCACATTCAACATTACATGTATGTGGTCTTTTCAACATCTTTTTAACAGTATAAATTAAAAGAAATGTGTGGTATATCATGTCAATGAGACAGCAACCAAACTAAAACAAGTTGACATGTGAGCAATTGCTCACTAATGTGACCCACGTTTTAAGTATTCCATAAACAGGAAGTTGATGAGCAATGGATTTGAAAATGCGTCACACACTAAAGCATGCTCCTATGAAGTTTGATATCAAGTTTCAGGGTGCTCTGATTTGTAGTTCCTTAGAATATTTAGTTTCTGATTTCCTGAGATAATCTTTGAGATTTTACCAAATTTGTTTATTTCAACACCTTTATTGACAAAAAAATTCATAAGGGGTTCCCTGGAACTCTGTGTCTTGCCTACGATTGCTGCTGTCAGTGTAAAAGTGTAATGTTGACTTAAAAAGTGAGTCCATTTATCAGTAAAATACAGAATTAAAAACATAATTCACTTTCTCTTTAGATGCTATTTCTTGGTCTTGAAGATTAGCTTCTGTTCAAGATTCATAACAATCCATGAAGGTTTATAATTACAAACTTATCATGTCAAAAAATTTAATCTAAATGTTGACATCGCCGACGAAAGAATCTAGGATCGCTATGTCTCGCTTTCACAAAATAAATTATGCAGGCTCGACAAAAATGGACATAAAAATCCAAGAGGGACTTTACTTTTCTGAAACAAATAAATGGAGATTGTGTCCATGGGACACAGATGATGCCCCCTTTTGCATATATCATTATAAAGGTATATAAATCAAGAACAGTAAAAGTGACGCTACCCAAATTTGTACTTGATCTGAGTTTTGTGGTACTGTGGATTCATTATTATTCGTTGGATACCAATTTTCGTGGATTTCATGGGTACAGGTGAACCACAAATTTAAATGTTCAACGAATTGCAAATTATTTATAGGTTTGTATGCAGACTTTGGCAAAACCACGAAATCAAATATCCACGAAAATACAGGCATTCCTCAATCAACGAAAATTGGTACCCACGAAAATAAATGAATTCACAGTAATTAGCATTGTGTATAAGTTTCAGAACATTTGGTTGAGGCGAACTTAAGTTAGAAACTGAAACAAAAAATTCAGCAATTTTTCCATTTGTAATTAAAGGGGCACAACTCTAGATTATATATCTAGGTCCTATCAGCCTTAAAACTTTGTTTAACAGCGACCCTTTTCACAAAAAATCTTACGAAAAAAAATAATCATACGTTATGAAAATTTCAGTATAACTTAAAATCAATTTTTAAAGTAAGATTTTTTGTGAAAAGAGCTGCTGGTTTGTATATTCTCACACTCACACACAAAGTGCCCCCCTCATGTACAGTAGTAAAATTAAGGGATCATATGGGGTACTCTCATATATGTATAGGGACACCCAAAAGGTATCAGTGTTTGCACTTACATGTACTGTACTTTTAGTAAATCATGTGGTGTTAACATGGTCATTTTTTTTTATAAAAGGTTATGGTTATGGTGAACCTTAAAAACTAATGATAAACTGTTGTCACAGAGATATGTCTCGCCTGTCGGCATAAAATACAGAAAAAGACAATCTGATGGACAGCAACATTTAAATTAATTCAAAGTCGCTGGACCATGATCTTGTGGGCAGGGCCTGAAAATGGTCAACAAACTGAGATGTACAAACAGTAATGTAACTTTATAGAAAATATCGTTGTCTATTGTAAGTAGTTTCTATCAATCTAACTAAAGAATAAGACTTAACATTGAAAATTGCTAATTGATTCAAAGTCACTGTACCATGTTTTAATGGGCCGGGCCTCAAAAATCAAAATAGTCGTCAAAATAGTTGTCAAACTGATATACACTGATAGTAATGCAACTTTATACAAAATATCATTGATCTATCACAAGTAGTTCTTATCAAACTGACTTAAGCAGAAAACTTAACATTGAAAATTGCTAATTAATTCAAAGCCACTGGACCATGACCTAGGGGGTAGGGCCTCAAAATAGTCATCAAACTGATATGTACTGATAGTAATGCAACCTTATATTAAATTCAATGATCTATCACGAACAGTTCCTTTCAAACTAACTTAATCAGAAAACTTAACAATTGTTGATGCCTTTGTCGCCAGAAAAGCAACTACTATGTCCTTTCATCGACTTTCATTGTAGGCGAGACAAAAATGATACTAGTCTCCCTTCATTTATCTTTAAAGGGACCACACCCATAAAGGGCTATGATAAAGTTCCTTAGAAGCTATTGACAATTATGGGCATGATTGCATCATAGAAATTACTAGTACAGATAAACCTGTGCACCTGCAAATTGTTGTAGGCATTTATCAGGACCTTTATCATGTTTATATAAAAGTTCTATGCATTGTGTGTTTCAAAAAATTAAAAACTTATTTTGATTTTAAGATTCCTTTTCATTCAAGCTTGTAGAAGATGGTTAAATAAACAAACAACTGAAATCATTTGATACTGGTCCACTCGGACACACAATTTTTGTTTATTGTTGTGTGCAGATATCCATTGTCCCTCTTTTTTTTCATGTCAATAATTACAATTAACTACAATTGTTACAAATGTTTTAAAACACATATTAAATATAATATCAGAACTTAGAGTAAATTATGATTCATTCCATAATCAAACCCAAAATCTGAAATAAGACGACAATGATCTGGGCAATCTGATTAAAATACAAATCCTCAGTCTTCACGATAAACTTTAAATCAACAGGCCCAGAGCTTATTTTTTTGGAAAATTTTAGTTAGATTCTGTTGGCCTGTAGAGATGATTTTTACAGGCCCCTAAAGCAATTTTACAAGCCTTGGCTGCTGAGCCTGTGGTTAAGTGTGAAGACTACATCCTGTCTTCATGCTTCGCTAACAAGGATCTGACAACACTGCGTCCTACTTTCTGTTCTGATAAATTTTATACATGTATTAACCAATCAAATTTCTGCCTTAAAATTTTTGAAGGTGGGTATCAATACAAACAAAAGGCTCTTAAGAGCCTTCTTTGCTCACCTAGGTCTATGTGCATTTTTTTACCATGGATACTCTCCAACATTGTGAACAAGAATAGAACTTGTGACAAAAATCTCTTTTTTGTTGATCTTGTATTGCTGGTCATTTTTTTCTTTTTACAGTTTCTGTCCACCTTCTTTAGTTTTTGCCCAAAACAATAAAAAGGGTAAAAATAAGTGTCATCTATGGACAATCACTCCTATAAAGAGTCTGTTAACGATTTTAGCAAAATTTGACTTAGTTGTAGATCTTGTCTTGCTGATCATTTTTGCTATTTATAGTGTCTATCCATCTTTTATAATTTTCAAGATAACAGGCAAAAACGTAAAATATTGGTAAACATGGTAAAAATCATCTTTAAAGAGAAATAACTCCAAAAAAGAGTTGACTGACGATTTCGGCAACGCTAACTTATTTGTAGATTTAGTACTGCTGATCATTTTTGATAATTTAAGTTTCTTTTTTTCTATGATAGTTTTTCAGATATTCGGCAAAAGCGCAAAAATTGGCAATTCGTCATTTATAATAATAATAATAATAATAATAATAATAACATATTCTTTATTTAAAGAGGGTAAACTCAGTTAGTTACAATAAACTAATCTTCCCTGAGGCCCTCACATACAAATTACAATACAATCAAAAACAGAAATTTACACATAGTTAATTTACAGTCAATTAGTTCAATGTAATATTACTAACATGAAAAGATATAAGGCTGTTCAAGATGCACACATAGTCAAAAAATCAAATAAAAATAAAAATAAAAGAATATACAAATACATTGTAGAAAACATAATCTTATCAGGACTGTGTTAAGTACTTCTTGATACTTTGTTTAAAAGTATAAGTGTTTTGAGCTTTATGCATTTTGTGTGGTAGTCCATTCCATAACACTGATCCAGAATAAGCAAAAGATTTCTTAAATAGCTCAGCTTTTGGCTTAGGAACTATCAGATTACCTTGAGTGACACCTCTCAAGGAGTAAGGATTATTTAAGGGCAATAACTCCAATAAATGTTTGTCAGATCATTTCAACAATGAAATGTATTTGCTGTTCATTTTTGCTTATCAAAGTTTCTACATTTATCTATCTTTTGAAGTTTTTCAGATATCAGGAAAAAACGCAAAAAATAATAAAAATCATCATTAAGGTAGCTGGGGTGTCTTCCTCCATCTTGGATTTTGAAAGAGCAGATAACAATCGGTCTAGATCTTTAATAAAATGTGCAAAATTTCTAGAGTAGTATGTAATTCATGTGTAAGACTTTTCACGTTAATATAAAAAACTAGATATCATTGAGATGGGAGCCATCTCTGTGGGCCCCGCTGTGAATAATGTGTGGTAAAAAATTTGTATCTTTATCATTGGACATGGAGTTGTCAACTGAAACCAAAGTTTTTGACCTTGACCTTTGACCTAGGAAGTTGTACATGAATTATGACACACCCTCTGGTGTTGGTTTATATACATGGCAAGTATAAACTTTGAAATCATAACGGTTCTCAAGATATAGA